CCTCTGCAAGGAGAGCTTGGAAGTGCAGTGTTTGATGTGCTCCGTTGAAAAGAAGAGGTTTTATTACCAAAAGAGCATGGATGGGACACATACATATTGGGGTATAAGCAGGTGTCTCTGACACAGGCGACCACAGGATTTGATTAGCTAAGGCTTACAAAGGATCTGGTACAGAAAAAGCACTTAGCAAATATTAGCTACATTTCGACACAAAAATTTTTAAAAAACATTTAAATCACCTTTATTTATTTATTTATTTATTTTTTGTTTTGTTAATCCTCACCTGATGATATTTTCCCATTGATTTTTACAGAGAATGGAAGATTGAGGGAAAGACAGAGAGAGACATCAATGTGAGAGAAACACATCGATTGGTTGCCTTCTACAGGAGTCCTGACCAGGGTCTGGGTCAGGGAGGAGCCTACAACCAAGGTACATGCCCTTGACTGAAAGAGCCCTCCTTAATGCAGTTCTGTGTTTATCTGTGTATCTGTTAGAATGCTCTTGGTGGCAGTACTTACCAATGGCCAATTTACTGGGCTTACACAATGCAATTTATCATCTCATTGACAAGTTCAAGACTATGTATTGGTCTTGGTGGCAGCAACATGGCTTCAACAGTTATGTCTCATCCAGATACAATGGTTAGAGGCAGAACAGGGACTATCTCTTTCAGTCATGCTTCTTAAAAAAAAATTTTTTTTTTTAAATTGACTTTAGAAAGGAAGGGAGAGGGAGATATAGAAACATCAATGATGAGAGAGAAGCATTGATTGGCTGCCCTGACTGGGAATCAAACTGTGATCTCCTGGTTCATAGGTCAACTCTCAACCACCGAGTCAGGCCAGTTTGTGCTTTTTTTAAAAAAATGTATATTTTATTGATTTTTTTACAGAGAGGAAGGATGAAGGATAGAGAGCTAGAAACGTCGATGAGAGAGAATCATCAACCAGCTGCCTCCTGCACACCCTCTACTGGGGATGTGCCTGCAACCAAAGTACATGCCCTTGACCGGAATTGAACCTGGGACCTTCCAGTCCCCAAGCAGACGTTCTATCCACTGAGCCAAACCGGTTTCGGCGAGTTTGTGCTTCTTAAGAGACTTCCCTGAAGTTCCTCAGCAGACCTTCCCCTATAGCTCATTGGCCTGAACTGGATCACATGCTCATTCCTAAGCCAATCCCTGACAATGGGAACAGGACCACCACGATTGGCTGGGTCTCTGGCCAAGGTCCACCTCTTTGCAGCACAAGGTCCCACACAGGGTCCTACATTTATCTTTTCCTCTCCAGTGTCCATAGTCTGTTTTCTCACGTTCCATTCCATTTGCCTCACACATAGACAGTTCTCTCCCATCTTCAGGAAAAATGACCTTGCATCTTTTCTAGCCACCATATTTTTTCCCTTCCATCAGCGTCAGGTGGGCTCTTGGTTGGCAGAACTCAAAGGAAGCTATTGAGATGTGCAGAAGGGCTCCATCTCCAGCTTTTTCCTCTCAATGGACAAAGGCTCAGGGGCAGACCAGGGCCAAGGAGGCGAAGTGTCAGGGATACAAGATAGTTGACAGCAGACTCTTTGTGAGGTAGTGAGTTCTCCACCAAGAGAATTGTTTAGGCAAAAACTCATGTCCCTCTGTGAGTCAACGCAGAAGGGCTTCTGTTGGGAGTCAGTTTGGAATAGGGCTGTTGATCCATTCATTCATTCATTCAGTCAACAAAATATTTATTGAGCACCTATTATATACCAGGCACTGGGCTAAATATGAGAATGCAGCAGTTAACAAGGCAGGTACAACTCCTGGACTCATTCAACTTGTACCTGCCTTGCTAACTGCTGCATTCTAATAGCGTAGAATTTAGCAGAGGAGAGGGAACCCACATGTGTGGTAGAATGATCGCTGAAGTTGCTTTAAATAAAAGATTTATGATTCTGTATATAAAATGCTTGGCTTAGTGCCTGGCACATAGTAGGTGTTTAGTAAATGTTACTATTGTTATTTCCTAACTGCAGAAGCCTATGGCAATGCATTTTTTCTCCTCTGAACTTCTATGTCTCTTACTATGGCCATTCAGCTATAGTTTTGTCATGAAACTTTTATTTATCTTGTGACTACAATAAACTTAAAAGAAATTACAATATTACCTACCACATGGTGTTGAATTGGTTTAAGAACAATTGTTCAAATTCATCCATGCCCTTGCCCACGTTTTGCAAACCAAGAACACGAATAATAAAAGGAGAGAAGAATTCCTAACATACCTACCCACATCTCAGCTTCTCCGGGTCAACAGCAGTCGGCGCAGAATCAGGGATATTATCCCCTTCTCTGCCTGAGAAAACGAAAGCTCAGACCAGTCAAGTGCTTTGCCCAGTACCTGGGAGGGGTTGTAGCTTCAATTGAATCCCAGCTGGAATACAGACGGGAAGCTGAAATTCAGGAAGGTGCCTGGATTTGTCAGAGGTCACATGGCTAAATGGCAGAGCTGATAGAGGACTCAGGGCGCCTGACCCCCAAGCCTGTCCTGAACCATCCTTTCCCAGTACCCAGGGTGCCAGATGCCTTCCACAGACCAGCAGGCTGTCAATAACTAAGGGGAGGGGCGGGACCCTGCACATCACAAGGGTGATGGTCACAGGGCCTGCTGGCAAATAGCAGGTCTGAGATGAACTGGGCCCCTAGATACAGCCCAGCGTGGATCCACAGTTAGCTTTAGTGCTCCCTTTAAATCTCCAGAGCCTCCCTCACCCGCCATTCCTTTATTTCCCTCACTCTCCCGCCCTCTTATTTTTGCCTTTGGCGTCCTGTGCTCATTGCGCCTCCTTGTGGCAAATAGTATCCACTGCAGCCTTGACAGCTTCCTGGAAAAATCGAGATTACAGAATTTAATTTCCATTTTCCCCCAGTGGAATTCTGATTTCCAGACCAGTTTCCAAAATTGGCTGTCATTGCCAAGCTGTGGTGGCTCAGTGGATTGAGCGTCATCCCATGGACCAAGAGGTCCTGGGTTCGATTCCCAGTCAGGGCACATGCCTGGGTTGCAGGCTTGATCCCCATCATTGATATTTCTTTCTTTTTTAAAAATATATATTTTATTGATTTTCCACAGAGAGGAAGGGAGAGATATAGATAACTAGAAACGTCAATGAGAGAGAAACATCGACCAGCTGCCTCTTGCACCCCCCCCACTGGGGATGTGCCCGCAACCAATGTACATGCCGTTGACCGGAATCGAACCTGGGACCTTTCAGTCCACAGACCGAAGCTCTATCCACTGAGCCAAACCGGTTTCGGCCGTCATTGATGTTTCTATCTCTCTCTTCCTCCCCCTTTCTCTCTGAAATCAATAAAAATATTTAAAACAAACAAACAAACAACAACAACAAACAAATTGGCTGTCATTGAGTATATCTTTGAGTTGGAGGAACATGTCAGGTTCAGGGTAGGAGATGACCCCCCACCTGTTCACAGAACTAAAATCTCTTCCCTTGGGAGGAAAGTAAACTGCACCCCTCTTGCTTGCGCTAATTTCACTGGGCCTGGGAGAGTAGATTCCCTGCTTCTGTCTGCTTCTTCACAAAACACTAAACATCCAGAGAGCAGAGCCTGGCTATTTAACAACATAGTGCTACTCCCATAGCTGGGATGCAGGAGGCCCTTGTAATTGTTGGTTATGGAGTGACTGGCATGCTCTTCCCCTTATTCATTTATTTATTTATTTAATATATATTTTATTGATTTTTTTACAGAGAGGAAGGGAGAGAGATAGTTAGAAACATCGATGAGTCATTGATCAGCTGCCTCTTGCACACCCGCAACTGGGGATGTGCCCGCAACCAAGGTACATACATGCCCTTGACCGAATCGAACTCTTCCACAAAATACCACAGTCTGGGAGAATCTATTTTGAATAAGTGGCATTAGAAGAAGTTTAAGTTTAAAAAATTTGGCTCTCAAAAGAAATTTTTCAATTGTTGTACTGTTGATATTTTGGTTCTGTTGATGAATGAGTTTGCCAACCACTGCCCTAATCTCTTTGGCCTGTTCTTGTTGTGGGGTCGAACCCTGGAATCAAAAATAAGACCACCAGAGGCTGCTAAATGATTAAAAAAGCAGGTAATGATTTATTGAACTGGCCAGGACGGCCGGGAGAGCACCACAGGCAGGTGGAGTCCACACTCACGACCACGCCGTTCCAGGTGTAGGCAGTCCCTTTAAAGGTCTAAACCACAAAATTTCCCTTTGTTCTAAATTCTAAATTCTAAATGCTGGGAGAAGCCTGCAGGGTCATTCCCAGCCACATCTGCTGGACGTTGGAATGTGGACCTATCTTGCGAAAGCAGATACTACAGAAGCAGAACTGAGCAAACTTAATCTCTAAAGGTTATCTGCAGTTTCAACTCCTGGAGCTACTGAGTCAGTGGGAATCAATTGCCAGAGGTCCTGGTCCACAGGTACAGGGAAACTGCCTTAGCTTCCAGGTCTCAATCTGGAAGCTGAGATAACTACCTATTGTTTAAGCAAGTGAGTGCAGAAACCAGAATAGCAGGGTTACAATTCAAACAGCAGTTTTTACCGAAGTATGGTCGCTATCATATAATACTTCATTCTCTCATCTGTAAAGTCTCAAAGGTTGCCCTGAAGCTTAAATGTGTAATACTCTTAAAATGCTTATTACCCATCCTCTTCTTTCCTTCTAATCTGATGGTGGAGACGTCAAACAACATTAAACAGCCCCAAACCCCTATGACATCAACGGGACTGAGATTGGGAACACGCCGGCCAATCAATTGTGTTCGGTGCTGGTGCTGCACCGAACACAATTGATTGGGATCTGGGAGAAACGAGACCCCTGGCTCCGCTTCCGCCAAACACTCCGCATGCCCGGCTCCGGAAGCCCCGCCCCCGGGGCCGCCCTGGCTGCGAGCCCGTCACCCCGGCAACGCTACCTTCCGGTCTGCTCTTTCCCCGCCCCCACTTCCGGCGTGGGATGACAACACCGCTTGGCGACCACACAAGTGTTTCCGGGAAAGGTCCCCGAGGCCGAGGGGCCTGCGGTCCCGGGCGGAGCGAGGCGGAGGGAGCGGTTCCGGGCGGGGGTCGCGGCGGGGCCTGAGCTCGCGGTCCCCTCCTGCCCTCGGGGACCATGGAGAACGGCGGGGGGCCCTCGCTGGGCCAGTTCCTGCTCCTGGGCACCAGCTCCGTCGTCACCGCCTGCCTGTACTCCGTGTACCGGCACAAGGCCCAGGTCGCCCAGGATCTCAAGGTCAGTGCGGTCCCCAGCCGGTGTGCTCTCCGGCTCCGGGAATGGGGAGCCCCCAGTTCGCCTCGGGCGAGGCCACCGTCGGAAACGACCCAAAAAGAGGAACTGGGCCCAGGAGAGTGTCCCCCGGGCAGGAAGTGGAGGAGGACCTGGGACCAGAATTGGGGTATTGTGATAACTGCTTCACGACTCTCTTTCCGCCAAGCCCCTCCCAAGATGCAGAAGGAATCTTGACTTCACGGCTCGATCCACATATGTATTGACCATCTAAGCTGCAGGCTCCGGGGGACATCGCTTGGGTAGAACAGACGAAAGCCCCTGCCCTCGTGGAGATTCCATTCTACTCCCACCAAGCCAGACCAGGGACAAACAAGCCGGGTGGTGTGCCAGGTGGGGCTAGATTCTCCAGGGAGAAGGGAGGATGTGATGCTGGAGAAACAAAGGTGTGCTATTTTCAATAAGGTGGCATTTGAACAGAGCCAGGAAGGAGGGGGACCTGCAGATGTCTTGGGGGAAGCGCCGTTCAGGCAGAGGGAACAGCCAGTGCAGACACTGTAGCTACTCAACTCCTTGCTTCTCCAGACGCTTCCTCTTTTAATATCCTAAGTTACTTAAAAACTAACCCTCTCCAGCTGCACTTTACAGCTTACATAAGACATTCCATCTTATTTTTATTCTATTCAGTAACTTTTGAAATAAAAGTGAAAATTGCCTCCAGATTGCAAATCAGGAAAGGTCTTAACAAGTTAGTCAAGTTGAAACGGAAACTTAGATATTTTAGTTCCACATGTGGGATTCCCCCCCCGATTGAGGACATTGCTTTACGGTGAATGGCCCACGAGGAAGAGATGGACCTCAATAGGTTGGAAACGGGGCCCTTATCTTACTTCTGATTCAGTCCCTGATTAAATGCTCAATAAACATGGATTCGTTTTGGCCGACATTCTTACACTACAACCCATAGGGTTTAAATGGACATTTATTATTGGAAAGATGGATTCCTAAACCCACCAACTTCGTTATCCGATTGTTTTCTGATAATGTTAATTGGTTTAGAAACAAATGTGTGAAATCTCTTCTGTGAGAGGAGTTTTGGAATCTATCTGGAATGAACCAAGTTCCCAAACAGTTGAATCTGTGGTGTGAATGGGGTTCTTAGGGAGATTCCAGCTGCCCTGTTCCCCTGATTAACCAAGTCACTTCGGAAGGGACTGGCTGTGAGTGTAACTGATACTTCACTTCCTGACTCAGAAATGCATCAGGCGGACCTGGATGTGGGATTCTTTGAAAGGGTGACCTCTCCAGCACCCATTTTTGGATGACCTTAAAAGTTTTGCCAATTATGAGTGAAATAAGCCAGTCAATGCAAGAGAAACACCACATGACCTCACTCATTTATGGATGATAAAGAACATTATAAACTGATGAACCAAAAGATAGATATAGATACAGTAAAGCAACAAGTAGACTGTCAAATTACAGCGGGGAGGGTAGGGAGATCTGGGGGAGATAATAGATCAACCGAAGGACTTGTATACATGCATATAAGTACAACCAATGGACACAAAACTCTGGGGAGGGAGGGTATGTATGGGGGAGGGATGGTAAGATATGTACACAGATAATAATTTAATAAAAAAAACAAAAACAAACAAACAAAAGCTTTGCCAATTAGTTCCTAAATGAGGTTGGAAATGGCCCCTTATTGTAAGAGGATTTGGGACTCCTCATATTTCAGATTCTACTTTTTTTTTTTTTTTAAATATATTTTATTGATTTTGTACAGAGAGAAAGGGAGAGAAATAGAGAGTTAGAAACATCGATGAGAGAGAGTCATCGATCAGCTGCCTCTTGCACACCCCCTACTGGGGATGTGCCCGCAACCAATGTACATGCCCTTGACCAGAATCGAACCCGTGACCCTTCAGTCCCCAAGCCGACGCTCTATCCATTGAGCCAAACCGGTCTCGGCAGATTCTACTTTTTTGATCAGATTACTGGACTTCTATATCAGGTTTGTGTGTTATCCCTGTGTATTTCTTATAGTGATAGGAATGCATGTTTATTGTGTGCCTACTATGTGCCAGCCTCTTGGCTAGATTCTTTACATCTTAAGGTTCATATAATCCACCTAAAAATTCTGTGAGATCATGCTCCCCATCTTTCACATTTTTGAAAACCAAGACTTAGATAAATTAAGTTGCTCAATCATAGTAGATGCATTGAAGCTTGATTCAATCCCATGTCTTACTGACCATGTTCCTTTTCCAGCCCTTAAAAAAAATTCTAACTGGCCATCCCCTGGTGGATATTTTATCAGCTGTGTGACTTGGGACAAGTCACATTTTATCAGCTGTGTGACTTGGGACAAGTCACTTCACCTCTCTGAGACTCAGTTTTCTTATCTGTAATTGAGGATAATAATGCCTACTATATAAGGATGGTGTATGCATTAAATGGATTTATACATTTAAAGTGCTTAGCAAAGTGCTATAGCATATGTAGTAAGTGCTTATGTATTCAGCAAATACATTTTGAGTGCCCTAACTTTCCTAGAGTCTAATAGTCCAGTAAAGACAAACAAAACAAGAAAACATTGTGCTAGCTGTTACGGCTGTTTAAAATTTTTCTTCACAGTGTAGGTGGTTAATAAGTGTTTGTTGACCTTGCTCATTTACTGTGTAGCAGTAGCTTCATCTTAAGAGTGACCTTAACAAGTGTGCAGTATCTCATCTCTTGAGAGGTAACTTATCTGGCATCCTTAAGATTTGTTGATGGGAATACTGTGGAAGAGGAAACTGTCCTCCATTCATCCTGGAATTCCTAGCAGCTAGCACTGTGCCTGGCACATAGATGCTCAGGAAATGTTTATGGACTTGATAACTTTTTTCATCGTTTTGAAAGAATAGTTCCCAAGCACAGCAGGTGGGAAACTGAATTGGAAGGGGTGGGAGAGCTAGTGGTTGTCAGAGGAAGACGGCAGCAGATGTCGCTCTGCGCACCTGATTGTGAAAGGGAAGAAGACAGACTGGAAATAGAACAGTGCTTGGCACCAGGTAGCAGATCTGTGCCTGTACAGCAAAGGCACCCCTTTGTGATGGTGTACAATGCAGGGCGTGAGTTCATAAAGGCCTGGCAATGACCATGCCTGCCGGTGCCCCGGCCCTGACCATGCACTGGGCACTTGTTTAGATGCTTTTATCAAGAGAAGATTCACATCTATTCAGCCTATGGCATACAAATTGGTTCATACGTTTCATTTAAAAACGAAGATGAAAAGGAGTGTTTATTTCCATTAACTGGAGAAAGGATATGCCCAGCTGGTGTGGCTCAGTGGTTGAGCATCGACCCAGGAACTAAGAGGTCATGGTTCATTTCCCCGTCAGGGCACATGCTTGGGTTGTAGGCTAGATCTCCAATAGGGTCTGTGTAGGAGGCATATGATGGAGAAAATAACCTGCGGGTAGGCTGCAACCAAGCCTTAATCATTTTTAGATGTGGGAGCTCCTTTCACATCCTGCGAGGTTCAGGTTCTGGAGAATGCTTCACACAAATGAAAGAGACTAGAAAAAGATTTAATTTGGAAATATTGGGGGCCAGGCCGCCTTGCTTAAGCTTTGCTATCCCTTTTATTGAGACTATGGGATATACCCATAGCCCTTAGGCAGGTAATTCCAGTAACAGGCAGATTATCTTATCAATAAGGATTTATATGATTATTTGGTGAGGAATGAAGTATAGTATCTACCATACTTAGGTAAAAACTACTGTTTGAATTTTAACCCTGCTATTCTGGTTTCTGCACTCACTCACTTGCTTAAACAATAGGTAGTTACCTCAGCTTCCAGATTGAGACCTGGAAGCTAAGGCAGTTTCCCTGTGCCTGTGGACCAGAGCCACAGGAGATTGATTCCCATTGACTCAGTAGCTCCAGGAATTGAAACTGCAGATAACCTTTAGAGATTAACAGCTCAGCTCTGCTTCTGTAGTATCTGCTTTCGCAAGATAGGTCCACATTCCAACATCGAACAGGATGTGGCTGGGAATGACCCTGCAAGCTGTTCCCAGCATTTAGAATTCAGAATTTAGAACAAAGGAAAATGTTGTGGTTTAGACCTTTAAAAGGACTGCCTACACCTCGAACGTGCAGTGCAGTCCTGAGTGTGGACTCCACCTGTGTGTGGCCGTCCCGGCCAGTTCAATAAATTCTTGCCTGTTTTTTTTTTTTGTTTTTTTTTTAATCAATTAGCAGCCTCCTGTGGTCTTATTTTGACTCCACGGTTGGCCCCACAACAGGGAAGTTGCCTCAGTTACCATTGTCTCAGTTAGACAGGGAGTGGTTGGCTCTGACCTTTCAGAGCTTCAAGGTTGACAAGCCTTCCACATCTTCCTATTAGTGAGACAATGTTCGGTTTCCTGCAGCCGCTTACGACATTTCTCATCGATGTTTCTGTCTATCCCCCTCTCTTCTCTAAATCAATCAATAAACATATTATAAAAAAATAATAAAATATATATATATTGTAATATGTTTATTGATTACATATGTTTATTGACACGCACACACACACACACACACACACACACACACACACATATATATATATAACACCCCATTCGGCAGATGGCAGGGGGAGGCAGTGCCCCTTGCCTGTTTGTATGTTGAAACTTCTCAGGCACAGCTTTGGAGTCTGAATCTCCTATAGTCTTCTTCCTGCCTGATTTCCTCCTCCTTTCAACATGAAAACAGTGAATAGTCGTCTTTTTTTGCCCTTTCAGTCTGATTGATCACGTTAGTATTCAGTAGTCAGTTTAATATGTTGTTTGCCTTTAGGGAGCGAAAAGAATCAACTTGGGGAAAGACTTAAAGAGTGTCCTTTGTGAAGCTCCGGGAAAATGTGTGCCTTATGCTGTCATTGAAGGTATGTTTGTTTGTTTGGTAAAATGAAAAGTAACTTCCTCTTCTAAAAGTTGGTTCTTGGCTGTGTATCCTTGGGGCAGTAGTCCAGAACTTGGACTTGGGGCTCAGAAAGACCTGGATTATTGCAGTGTGACCTTGGGGAAATTGCCTCGCCTTTCTGAACCTCTGTTGTCCATCGCTAAGAGAATGTCTACCTTACAGGGTTGCTGGAGTGCTTGGAAGAGGACCCACAAAGCATAACTTAGGTTGATCCCTGTGGGAACCCCTTTCACGTCCCACATGGTTCAGGGTTCAGGTTTCTGAAAGAGGCTGCACACAAATGAAAGAGACTAGAAAAGTATTAATTTGGGAATATTGGGGCCACGTGGGAGCTCACCTCTAGGGGGAGGACTACCCCCCCCCCCCCCTTTCTGGCCTTGCTATCCCTTTTATTAAGATCATGGGATACACCCATAGCCTTTAGGCATGCGATTCCAATAATAGCCAATCAGCAATAATTTAATAAGACTAACGGGTGGAGGCTGCTTCAGCTACCAAGTCTCATCTAAACAGTGAGTGATTAGCTCACTGTTTAGATGAGACTTGGTAGCTGAAGCAGCCTCCAGAGCATTTAAGGTTGACCAGCCTTCCAGAGCATTTAAGGTTGACCAGCCTTCCGGGTTCCCTGTCCACATCTCTCTGTTAATGAGGACAATGGACAGCGTCCGGCAGATCACATAGTCACCATTTTGATTAGTGAAATGAATTCAACTAAAAAAATTTAAATGACCTTAAAGGGAAGGACATAGCAATGCTTTGGAAATAAAATAATTGGTTTCCATTTAGGAGCTGTGCGGTCTGTTAAGGAAACGCTCAACAGTCAGTTTGTGGAAAATTGCAAGGGGGTGATTCAGCGGCTGACAGTTCAGGAGCACAAGATGGTGTGGAATCGAACCACTCACCTCTGGTACGTAGCCTTTCTCCAGCCTTTCTCCGCTGGCTGAGACCCAACAGCCAGCTTCTGGAACAGGGTGTAGGCCAGTTTCTTTTTCCTTTTTCTTTTTCTTTTAAAAAAAATATATTTTATTGATTTTTTTTTTTTACAGAGAGGAAGGGAGAGGGATAGAGAGCTAGAAACATCAATGAGAGAGGAACATCGACCAGCTGCCTCCTGCACACCCCCTACTGGGGATGTGCCCGCAACCAAGGTACATGCCCTTGACCGGAATCGAACTTGGGACCTTTCAGTCCTCAGGCCGACGCTCTATCCATTGAGCCAAACCGGTTTCGACTAGGCCAGTTTCTTAACGTTGTTAATATTCCGTGTGTGGTCTGAGGACCTCTTAACTTAGAGTCACCTAGGCATCTTGTTCAAATGCAGGTTCCTGACCTGCCCGATTAGTGCCTCCAGGACAGGGGAATTTGTTGATATGATCACCAAAGTTTGTATCTACTCACATATGGTTTGGATTAATGATGTCAGTATTTATTAAAATGATTTTGTGGATTATTTTGCTTTTAAATGGAGTATCATTTTCCCAAATGACCCTAGTGAGTTTTTGTTTTGTATTTTATTATTATTTTTTTTATTATAATAAGAACACTTCACAAGTGTGTGTTCTTATTATAACAAACTTAAAAAAATATTTTTATTGATCTCAGAGAGAAAAGGAGAGGAAGAGAGAGAGAGAGAAACATCAGTGATGAGAGAGAATCACCAATTGGCTGCCTCTTGCATGGCCCCACTGGGGATCGATCCCACACCCGGGCCTGTGCCCTCACCAGGAATTGAACTGCGACCTCCCAGCCCACAGGTCTAGGCTCAACCACTTGAGCCAGGCCGGTAGGTAGGATTTCCTTCTTTTTATGCTGAATAATCCTCTGTGTGTGTGTGTGTGTGTGTGTGTGTGTGTGTGTGTGTGTGTGGCATTCTTTATCCACGCATCTGTCGATGGACATGTAGGCTGCCTCCGTTTGGCTGTCGTGAACAATGCCGCAGTGAGCATGGGCATATAGATCTCTCTTCAAGACCCTGATTTCAATTCAGTTCCCAAAAGTGAGATTGCTGGATCATCTGGTAGTTCTGTTTTTAATTTTTTAAAGAATTAAAAGTGGCTAAAGGAAATAAATGGTATTTGTTGCCCACTGATAGCCCTGAGAACCTAACAAATTGAGGCACTTGGATAATACTGATATCTGTTGTCCTTTTCTAGCCACATCAGATTTTACCCTGTCCTTCTGGCATGTATGTGATCTCCATCTCTTCTTGGGCGTGAGGTGTTTGCTTGTCCATTACTTTATCTTGAGTTCTCATTGTTTTAGGAATGACTATTCAAAGATCATTCACCAGAGGACCAACACGGTGCCCTTTGACCTGGTCCCCCACCAGGGGGCCCGGGGCGTGGCCGTGCGAGTGCTGAAGCCTCTGGACTCCGTGGATCTGGGCCTGGAGACAGTGTATGAGAAGTTCCACCCCTCCATCCAGTCCTTAGCTGACACCATCGGCCACTACATCAGCGGGGAGCGGCCCAAGGGCGTCCAGGAGACCGAGGAGATGCTGAGGGTTGGGGCCACGCTCACAGGGGTGGGCGAACTGGTCCTGGACAACAACTCCATCCGCCTGCAGCCCCCCAAGCAGGGCATGCAGTACTATCTGAGCAGCCAGGACTTTGACAGCCTGCTGCAGAAGCAGGAGTGGAGCGCTAGGCTCTGGAAGGTCCTGACGCTGGCGTTTGGCTTTGCCACGTGCGTGGCCCTCTTCTTCATCCTCCGAAAGCAGTATCTGCAGTGGCAGGAGCGCCTGCGCCTCAAGCAGATGGAGAAGGAGTTCCGGGAGCACGAGGCCCAGCTGCTGAGCCAGGCCAGGCCCGAGGACCGGGAGAGTCTGAAGAGCACCTGTGTCGTGTGTCTGAGCAACTTCAAGTCGTGCGTGTTCCTGGAGTGTGGGCACGTGTGTGCCTGCACCAGCTGCTACCAGGCGTTGCCAGAGCCCAAGAAGTGCCCCATCTGCAGGCAGGCGATCTCCCGGGTGATTCCCTTGTACAACAGCTGACCGTCTGAAGCCCACAGTTACACATGAAAGGAAGCTCTCCCTTTTCAGGGTTTTTATCTTAAGGCCTTAGAAGAGTAGGGGTGCAAGGGGTAGCTGTTATCTCCAGGTATGACTGAGGGAGAGAGGGGGGTGCTGTCCAGACCTCACACCTCCAACCTGAGAGGGAAGCCTTCCCAGCACACGAGAATCAAAGCCCAGCCTGGGTGTGTGTCCTGGCACAGCCTCCTTCCCCGAGCCCGCTGTGTGACTGAGCACCTCTTCGCTCAAGCTCCGAAGCCAGTGATCTCAGCTCGTGCTCCTGTGTCTTCGGGTCCTTCCTGGTGACTTGCTGATTCTTGTGGACTTGAGCCCTAAATGACTCGGGGGGCAGTGTGACGCACGCCTCATGGAGCTGCCTCTGGGGAGACTGAGTCTCTCTTCCTTTTTTTTTTTTTCTTTTCAAAAAATCTAATAAATCTTTATTCAGATTATTACAATTCTTTCGCCTTTTCTCCCCCCCCGCCCCCCCATAGTTCCCCTCCACCCGGTCCCCACCCCACCCTCTGCCCTTACCACCCCTCCCCTTGCCACCCCCCCTCCCGCTATCCTCATCCATAGGTGTATGATTTTTGTCCAGTCTCTTCCCATACCCCCTACACAGACACCCCTTTAAATCTCGAGAATTATCAATCCACTCCCATTCTATGCCTCTGATTCTATTATATTCACCAGTTTATTCTGTTCCTCAGATTTTTAATTCACTTGGTTTTTAGATTCACTTGTTGATAGATAGGTATTTGTTTATAATTTTTATCTTTACTTTTTTCTTCTTTTTCCTCTTTTTAAAGAACACCTTTCAGCATTTCATATACGGTAATACTGGTTTGGTGGTGATGAACTCCTTTAGCTTTTTCTTATTTGTCAAGCTCTTTATCTGCTCTTCAATTCTGAATGATAGCTTTGCTGGTAGAGTAATCTTGGTTGTAGGTTCTTGTTGTTCATCACTTTGAATATTCCTTGCCACTCCCGTCTGGCCTGCATAGTTTCTGTTGAGAAATCTGCTGAGAATCGTATGGGTGCTTCCTTGTAGGTAACTTTTTCTCTTGCTGCTTGTAAGATTCTTTCTTTGTCTTTTGCTCTTCGCATTTTTAATTATGATGTGTCTTGGTGTGGTCCTCTTTGGATTCCTTTTGTTTGGGGTTCTGTGTGCTTCCTGGACTTGTAAGTCTATTTCTTTCACCAGGTAGGGGAAGTTTCCTGTCATTATTTCTTCAAATAGGTTTTCAATGTCTTGCTCGCTCTCTGCTTCTGGCACCCCCATAATTCTGATGTTGGTTCACTTGAAGTTGTCCCAGAGGCTTCTTACACTATATTCAACTTTCTGGATTCTCTTTTCTTCTTGCTTCTGTGGAGGAGTGCCCTTCGCCTCTTTTTATTCCAAATCATTGACTTGATTCTTGTGTTCCTCTAGTCTGCTGTTGGGTCTCTGTAGAATATTTTTTATTTCAGTCAGTATATGTTTAATTTCTAGTTGGTTTAATTTCTTTTTCATATCCTCGAGGGCCTCATTAAATTTTCTAGGAAATTCTTGAAAAACCTTATAACCGTGGTTTTGAACTCTATGTCCAGTTGTTTGTTTTCCATTCCTTTTGTTTGAGATCTGTTTCCTTGTCTTGGCATTTTTGCTGCTTCCCTGAGTTGGTAGGGTAGCTTTGTGTGCTGGGTGTCCTATATGGTTCAATGGATCAGCCTCCCCGTTACCTGAGGTGGACACTTTTGGAGCACCCTTGTGGACTGTACAGACTTGTAGTTGTCTTTTTTTATTTTTTTATTTAATATATTGATTTTTTACAGAGAGGAAGAGAGGGACAGAGAGTTAGAAACATCGATGAGAGAGAATCATCGATCATCTGCCTCTTGCACACCTCCTACTGGGGATGTGCCCGCAACCAAGGTATTTGCCCTTGACCGGAATCGAACCTGGGACCTTTCAGTCTGCAGGCCAATGCTCTATTCACTGAGCCAAACTGGCTATAGTTAAGTATTGATTGTTGGTATCATTGGGAGGAATTGACCTCCAGGCCAATTGGCTGTGAGGACCCGCTGGGTCTATAACGGAAGACATGTTTATGGGGCAGGACTTGTTCCAGTAGGGCTTTGGTGCTCACTGAGTCTGCCTCTTAATTGTGTCCCTCATGAGAGTAGTTGAAATCTGGTGTCGTCATACACAGACCACTAGATACGCTAGTTTCTGGATCTCCAATAGGGTGTAGGTCAGCTACTGTCTGAGGGCACCCAGTAGGAGCTGCAGAAAGAACTACAGTTTTTTCCTCTTTGCTTGGGATTTGGCGGTTTTGGGGCAGTCTGACTGGAGATGCAATTTATTTCCTTAAGCTGCCACAGGGCAGGCCATTTATATGCAGAAGCCGCTGTATGGAGCCTGGGTGGGTTTGTAGAATGTGAGGGGTGGGGTCTCAGGGCGGGGTGGGTCTCAGGGTGTCACTAGGCTGCGGCATTGAAAACTGCGATGGCTGCCGTCAGCTTTCTCTGCCTTTCCGCGCTTCCAAGTCCCCATGTCCCCGCACTCCAGTGCAGTAAACAATGATTGCTACGTGCACCTCTGCAAAAAACTCACCCTCACTTTCTGACCCGATGGCTGACAGACCAGCTTCTCTCCGTAGGTGTCTGGGTCCCCACGTCACCCCAGAAACTGGCTTTCAAAGTGATCAGGGGCTTGTTTCCCTTCAGGTTGAAAAAAAGCCGGGCGCAGAGTCATCCATCACCCGCCTGATTCGCGTGCCTTCGAACCTCAGCTTTTCAGCGCTTGTGCTCTTTTCTCTTTCCTTCTAGTTGTATGACTTCCATTCAGCCAGTTTTCCTGTGGTTCTGGGTGATAGACGTTTTGTCTTTTAGTTGTAGTTTTGAAATTGTTGTGCGAGGCAGCGACTTGGTTTACTTACGCCGCCACCTTGGTTTCTCCTCTCTTTTGCTCACTCCCCAGGAGAAAATCGTAAGGCTCCACATGTCACTGTGTCCCTTTGCCCTACCTGCTTGCCTCCCAAATGCATGCACCTTGCGTCAGGACAGGAGACTCAGTTCAGCGTCAGCTTCTCCCAAGCAGGGCAGGACTCTGAGCAGCAGACGGAGAGTGTTCACCTGGGGGTGAGGGGGTGGGCTCGGTGGCCTCAGCAGGGATGAGGACGGCCAGCTCACTGCAGCCCTCCTGATGCCTCTGCTGCCTGGAAGCACTGCCAGAGGAGGTGTGTGTGTGTGTGTGTGTGTGTGTGTGTGTGTCCCGCCTCCTGCCTGATGGGACTGGTTCCCTGCCTGAGGGAGCTGGGAGGCCTCACCTCCCACAGGAAGCAATAAGGACGCTGCTGCCCAGCCTCTGGCTGTCAGCTTCTCTCCGAGGCCCTCACCAGCCAGCATCCTGAGCACAGAGCCATGTCCTGGCTCTGAAAAGGGGACATGCCGTGGGTGTAGTCACATCGCCCCTTCCTCCGTTGCCTTCACCCCTCACCCGCCCCTCCTGTTAGTGGAAGAAAAGTGGTCTGAGGTCTTGTACACAGCTCTTTCTTTTCTCCCTTCCCGCGTTGACTGTTCACTCTCCCGATCCTCCTCATGGGGGGAGGAGGGGTGCTCTCAGGGGCTGACACCCCTTCGGCACAGTGTCCGCGTGGACAGCACAAGTGAAACGTTCCAACCAACCGTCAGCCTGTTGCTGTTCAGTACGGTTCATTGGTTAGGCCCGGGCTCCCCTGGTGGGAGGGAATCCTCCCGTGATGGAATGAACTGGAGGCCTGGAGGCCTGGTTTGGGGCTCCCACAATTGCTGGCCTGAGGAGGAGTCTGCCAGCTCAGGAGGGCCCCCTGGAGGGGGCAGCCGGGCCCTCCGTGCCTGAAGTCTGTTCTGAGCCATGGAGAAGGGCTGGGGTGGGGTGTTGGACAGCAGGGAGGAATTTACGTTTAGCAAGTAAGTGCTGAGTTAGTGTGTGCTCTGAACCTTGAGTTAACCCTTGCAGGCTCATGGGATCTGCATTTCCGGATGAGGGAGTAACCCCACATCTGTTCACTGGGCAGCGTGGATCTGAAGTTGTTTCCAAAGCTCCCATCACCATCCACACCAGCAGCGGGGCTCATTCCCTCAGTGCTCCCAGGAGCACCCCACAAGACACTTGTGCCCCAAGTTATAAAAAAGACGGCTACTGTGAAGGAGCAGGCATAAGTGGTGAGAGCCCACGTATCACGGCTGAATGTCCAGTGAGGTGTTAGGACCCTGGTTTTGATAGGTATGTTGGGGCAGGGCAGGTGTTTGGGGGGGTGGGGTGGTCTAAGGCAGTGTTTTTCAACCTTTTTTGGGCAAAGGCACACTTGTTTCATGAAAAAAATCACGAGGCACACCACCATTAGAAAATGTTAAAAAATTTAACTCTGTGCCTATATTGACTATATATAAAGTAGTTCTCTTGAATAGGAATCAAATAAACACAAAGAAAGTATTTTATAATTACTTTATTATGAAATATTAAGTAAACAAAATAGTGAAAAATTATAAAATTCTTGTCTTGTCTGCACCTACGGCACATCAGGCAACATGTGCCGCGGAACAGCGGTTGAAAAACGCTGGTCTAAGGGAATGCCCTCTGAGCACCCTGACTGCATCTGCCCCCATTTCCTTGTCTTTTCTGCAGTTCCTGTGTAATTGGGTCCAGGTTTCAGCAGAGAATGAATGGGCTGCCTGGGGGTGAGGGGTGTTATGTGGGAATGTATCAAGAGTTCAGTCCTTGGCATAGATTTCATGAATAAGTCTGGTCAAAGGGATGGAAAAGAAGGGAAGCCAGTCTGTGTTACCCCAGCCCAACTCCAAGGCAGACTTCAGCCTCCAGTACCCCAGAGAGCCAGGGAGATGTGGGGGCAGCCATGGTCCCTGCCCCCGAGCAGCTGGTTGGGAACACTGACAAGCACATCCCCAGTTCTGAGTGTGAGGTCCATGCAGTCCTAGCCTGGCTGGGACAGACTGCCTCATGCCCTCATTCACTGTGCAGTTCCCACTTTCCATGTTAGGGGCTTAATCTGCAGGGGGGTCGGATGGACTGATACTTGGGGCCCAGGTTGGGAGTGGGAGGTGACGGAGACAGGAATTTGGAAGTTAGTTCTCAACTGATGTTGGGATTGTTGCTAGCTTTGATTCTTTGCCAAGTCTGTCCTGGTGTTCAGTCCCTTCAGTGCTAGCAGACAGCGGCAGGCAGAGGTCATCTTGAAGAACTGCACCTGGTGTTTTAAATGTCTGCTCGGGCCGAAACCGGTTTGGCTCAATGGATAGAGCGTCGGCTTGGGGACTGAAGGGACCCGGGTTCGATTCCGGTCAAGGGCATGTACCTTGGTTGCGGGCATATCCCCAGTAGGGGGTGTGCAAGAGGCAGCTGATCGATGACTCTCATCGATGTTTCTAACTCTCTATCTCTCTCCCTTTCTCTCTG